TGTGTGTGTGTGTGTGTGTGTGTGTGTGTGTGTGTGTGTGTGTGTGTACACCCATGGGGTCGACATTAAAATGATGATATAAAATGTGATGTGTTGGACAGCGTGAAGGAGGAGGTTTTCTGGAGGAATTACTTCTACCGGGTGTCTCTGGTCAAGCAGTCGGCTCAGCTCACAGCGCTGGCGGCCCAGCAGCAGCAGAAGGACGGTGAGGACAGAGGGGCCGGTGTCTCACCTGAGGACATCGTCTTAACAGGTCCGACTTTGCACTTTGCTTCTTTTAAAGCTACACATGTACTTCACAAGCCTCTCCCAACTCACCGCCCTGAGCTTGGAATGGCTGATGCTCACTTTTAAAGCTACACATGTACTTCACAAGCCTCTCCCAACTCACCGCCCTGAGCTTGGAATGGCTGATGCTCACACGATGACCTTCAGCAGCCAGATGCATCCAACTCTGGTTGACTCGTGCTTCTGGGTTACTGATCTCAAGTCATCATTGAACCGGGCACACGTGCACGAGCCCGATTTCCTCATCAACTGTTAAATCAGTTACTTCTCTCAGTCCCACAACTCGTTAGACCTGTCGATGAAAGACTGGCTACTTGTGGCACGCGGATTGGTAGTTCATCACATGTTTAAGTTTAAAAAAAAGCGCCTTGGATTGACATTTTACAAATCCGTGGGCAAAAAAATACCAGACGATCAATGAAATTAGCTAATAGCCTAAATTAATGTTTAAAACCTTTAAATTACATTTATTTTGTGTAGCCCAAAATCACAAATTTGCCTCAGAGGGCAACAGAGAAGGATCCCTCTATCAGGATGGACAGAAGTGTGATAGATGTCATGTGTACAGAATGAACATCTTTGTCCCCTACGTGTGTCTCTGATTTCTCTGTCTTGAGTTGTTTGTCCTCTTGGGAAATCATTTGATTTGAGTCCTGAAGGAAAATATTTTAAGTTGTGGTATGGACGGAGCTCTGTAGCTGAATGTGACAAGAGGAAATTCAGAGGAAATCCTCAGGTCATCAAGTTAAGCAAACACCACATTGTGATTTTGAATGTGGAAAACTAATAGCACTGTATGATTTTTATTGTAGACAACGTCGGACCAAAAACTCCACCAGTTTCCATCAGCGACAAACGGCAGGTAAGAGCACTGAAATACAGACTCTCCAACAATCATTCTAAAGCTTCAGAAAGACGAGTACAGTCTGTGTCCTTTCTCTGTCCCGTCTCCGTGACCATCAGCCACCTCAGGATGAAGAGGAGGAGATGTCGACGAGTCCCGGCGTGTCCGAGTTTGTGAGCGACGCCTTCGACTCGACGGGCATCAACCAGGAGGACCTGAGGAAAGAGATGGAGCAGCTGGTGCTGGACAAGGACAGCGCCCCCTCTCCCGATGGTCCGCTTTATGACCGTTTCTGATTCTTCAGCTACATGTTGTATTTGGACATTGGAAGACACCGTCCTGCGATTGAAGTGTGAAGTAAATAATCGTCCTGCTCGTGATCTTCCCTTTTCCAATTCAGACGAGACAGCGGACTGGGAGAAGGAGCTGCAGCAGGAGCTCCAGGAGTACGAGGTGGTGACCGAGGCGGACAACAGAGACGACCAGTGGGACCAAGAGATCGAGAAGATGCTCCAGGCCGAAGATAACTAGACGGCTGCTGCTCGTCGGCCTCCTGGTCGCCGATCGGGCTGGAGGAATCGTGACCCGGTGATGCACAGGGGGGAGGGGTGAACTTCCACATTCTCTGTGACCCGACTGTGATTACTATCTTGTAAAACGCCTGTACTCCGATGAATGTGTGGATCCAATATTAGCAAGAGGGTGTCAGCTCTGCTGGAAGCAGTGGGTCTATCCAGGCGTATTAGTAGTAGTTGCGCTACTTTGTCGCCCCTTCCTACTTTTATCTACTTGCTTTCCCCTACCCTCTCTCTTTTTGATGGGGGGGGGGACAAAAAAAGCTGCTAGATGGCTCTCCGGTACAAGTACAGTGGATTTTATAATGGAGGGGTGTTTATTTGAAATGACACAAAATGTTCTATCTCCGTTTCCACTGCTGCTTTCTGGTGGGTTGTACAGTAAAGTCTTGGTATAGTTCTAGTAACGTAAAGTCAAATGTAAAGTTACATTTCTGTAAATAAAAACACTATACCAAACTTCAAATGGCATTCCCCTTCCATTTACATCTGCTTGTCATTTTACATTTTGTATCGTGTTTTCACAAGCTGTACTGTGCTCATGTCTGCTTTTCCTTTTTTCTCTGCAACTGAAATACTGTACCTTTTCTGTTGAACCTGTGAAGCTTCAATAAATATTTATCTGTTATTATGGACAATATACATCATGTTTAAGGGGACTACAAAGCCCAGGGTAACTAGGTTTTAAAATGACTATTGCTCGGGTTTTGAAATATGCTACAAAGCCTTTTAATGAAGTTAACACATGGCATAGATTATTTTTTATAACTTTTTATACCAGCATATTAAAGGCATATTTACGGAAGCACTGAGAGGCAAGTGAGAAAATCGATTACAGAGATCTATTTTTAGAGTCTGATCTTGATTGTTTCCTCTCCTGTGTTTATGACTTAAGGACAGGGGGAAAAAAGGTTTTGCCAGGATGATCTTTCTGAGTTCCTTAAAGTTACTACGAGGAACTTTCATTTTGTGTCGATTATGGGGGTCCCTGCAGACGAAAGCGGTAGTGTTAACTAGCACCAGGGTCTCTTTAGAAAACCTAATTTTTACTGCAGTGGGTGTCTGACTCCAGTCAGTCTTGCTTCTGGTTCTCCCGTGCCTCCCTTTCCTCCTGCGGTCTATAACACACTTCAATGACATTTGGTGCAAAGTTGGGCCATGAACAAGAAAAATGTTTTTTGATGGGAGAGCGCCACCAGGAGGACTTTTATAAAACACTTCCTGTTTTAGCTGAGAACTCCTGAAACATGAGGTCTCAAATCACACCTAGTTTTTCATGGATTCCTTCATTAATAATGAATCTGACCAAAACAGAGTTTCTGCAATCTGAAATGGTTAATATTCCATCAGCTGTGTCTTTACTTCACCAGAAAGATGAATGTTGAATCAATTTATACACAGCTTATTCATATTTACAACTATTGAAAAATAAAGACTTGACATGTCTCTGATCATCATTGTGAATTTATATTTGGTCTCACGCTTCACTCACAGCCATCAAATACTGTTCATAAGTCCTTATAAGAGTGTTATAGTAGCTTTCATACAATACCTAATAACTTACAGTGCTGTCACTTCACTTAAAACTCATAAAGTTATGCTATAACGTGTTATTGATGTTTGTGACACATTATTTCATTTCAGAAACGTAGAAATTATCATCTGTTTTGACACGTTGGAGCAGTTCTCTGTGTCTGAATAACTGAATAAAGTTATGGTATTTATAATGTGCTGTGTAACACAGGACTCATATTCTTCTTTTTGATGTGTTCTCATTATTACTATGAATATTAACAGTATTATTGTGATTATCGTCATTATCAAAAACTTGTAAACAATCATCCACAACTTCCCCAACACTGACAAACTCCCATCTGCCCATAAACCATTATATTCATAATTTGTTGACAACAAGGCAGAGAGAAAGATAAGCAGAAGGAAAGAAACACACACACACACACACACACAAACATTGTGGTATAAAGCATCATGAACGCTGAACTTATAAAACATTATTTCCACAATGTTTTATTCTTTACAACCTTAAGAAGAGTTTTATGAAGCCGTATGAATTTCAAACAAAGAAACAACTCAATCTCATCAAACTTGTGCTGCTGCTGGAACTCTTCTCTGGCTGAAGGAGGAGGACAGCACACACACACACACCTGTTCACTTCATCAATCTCTATTTATTTACGTTTCCACATGTTTCTTCTTCAGGTAGAGCAAGAACACTTCTTCTTCTTCTTCGTCTTTGGGGTTTTACGGCATCAATTACGTGGCATTGCTGCCACCTCCTGGATCTAGATCAATACTGTGCTATCTGCATACCACAACCTTTTTTATTAAATCAGTGTTATCTTCACACTAATGTGTATGTTCATGCCGTTTGTTTGTATTTAGTATTCCTTCCTTTTAGTTTATTAAATACTTGTAGTAGTAAAGCTATTAATGGAGGTTTCTTCCTTATTGGCGGTGGTTAACGGTGGTGTGCTTTTTTGCCTATGCATTTTCTGTATTTCCTTTAGGTCCAGAATGGAAATGTTCAAGGTCAGTGATGAAGTGGCCCTTATGGTGAAAGCAGCAGGTGGAGCTAGGAAGGTACCGTAGCTTCACGTGAGACGTCACTGAAGGGTAATTACTGTTAATGTAATTCTAGTTATACTATATTCTATACTTCGAGAGTTTTACCACAATATGCATCTTGACTGCAAAATAATCTTTTAAATTGACAAGCATATGTGTAATTCATGACACAAGTCAAACGGGATCGGATAATTATTTGTCCCTTGCCATTGACTACAGTACATATTTTTTCCAAAATTAGGTCTTATGGTGGTCAACGGAAAGAGCGAGACTTCGCCTCTGTATTCTCCCTCAATGTCCATAAAAACTGTCTTTTTTTTTTTTGTATTTATGGTGATTTTATTTATAAATTCATGTGGCATCACTGATAGCCCAGTTTGTCCTTTTTAAAAGATATGTAAATAACATAAACAATAACTTGTGCATTGCAGTTGAGGTTATAGATGCAGAACTAAAAATAGGAAAAATGACCAACATTAAGTGCCTTTGTCAGCCTTTCCTGAGATATGGACAAAGGTAGGAAAGTTGGAATGGTGTTTGTATCTAATTTAATTTATTATTTTTATTTATTTCTTCCTGTTTTATGAAAACAAGAAATATATCTGACTCCTCACTTTACACATTGTGCTTTACTGCACCGCCGCTATTGTTTTTGTACGTTTCTTGTTGTATTGTTATGAACTGAACTGTGCCAACATACCATTATATATTACCTTTCTTTCACAATGGTGTCTGTGTGAAATTTGTACCTATGACAACTTTGTATTGAAAATCCTCGAGGCTCTGGTTTTACAATAAATATATATTTTGATATTCATATTGCTTTGAGGTGGAGTGCATATATCAGGGCACTATTAGTGAAAATCTGAACTAAATTCAAGCGTTAGATGAAAAATAACATGACACATTCGCTTTTATTCCACCGTTTTTCACCTATGGGGTGGGTCAAAATATTGATCAATTGCATCACTTTTTTTCTCTCTGTTTTGCTGTATATAATATTTTTTACGACCATCATCCTCAAAACTAGTCTTTATTAATTCATGTATCTCAATTTCTGAGAAATCGTGATGGCTTAGCGGTCCAAGACGACAATGTCATAGCAACATGCCTACTTTAAGTCTGGCTGGGGACTAGGGGGTTGTACTTTCCCATACACTGTGTGTGTGTGTGTGTGTGTGTGTGTGTGTGTGTGTGTGTGTGTGTGTGTGTGTGTGTTTGCGTGGTCGGGGGAAGAAGGAGGGAACTATATGTGTTGGTGAGGAGAATGTTGGCCTTAGGGGGAAAAAACTGTTCAGGTGTCTGGTGGTCCTGGTCCTGATAAAACCGAAGCTGTGACCACATGGGAGCCTTCTGAAGAGGCAGTGAGCCATGTGTGATGAGTCAGCCGCCTGACAGCCATGTGCTGTCTCATAAAGGCTCAATCACTTTAAAATAGTAGTGATTTTATGTCGGCTCTAATGGAAACTTTCTCGTTTAACCTTATTTATCCCCCCTGCTGTCGGAACCTCCGACTGCACTGTGTTCAGCCCTTTCACGTGGATGATCATTCCAGGCAAAGTACCGGTCTGCATGACTTCAAAACTGAATTGATATAGAGTTTGGCATGTAATAAATGGTTTCGATGGACAAACAATTCTGTTCCAGCCGAATGGGAGGCGGAGCTGAGGGCCGAGAGGAAAGCCAGTTGAGAGAGTGACTAAGTACGTGTGGAATGGTGGGGAAGGAGGCACGCATGTTTCTGTAGTAGAAAGTCTGTAATCATGTAAATAAAAAGAGACAAACACATAGCTGTACCAGACAGCCAGTCGTGTCTCTGCCTGCCCCATACGTTTCAGTGCAGGAGTGGTGGAAACAGATGGTACGCTGTCTGCAGTGTCAACACTACTCCCACCGCAGTTCGGTGCTAAAATGAATCGGAGAATAAATGCTCTTTTGCAACCGGCGATCAATACAAGGATCAATACTCAATATGCTAATGCATGCTGCGCTTTCTCTCTTCTTCTTGGGGTTTAAAGTGTGTGTTTAATTAAGCATATAATGTGAAAAAAAACAGACAGCGTAATGAATAACTCTCCTTGCGGCACAACGTGTTGTCTCTTTGTTGTGTCTCTCTCTCTCTCACACACACACACACACACACACACACACACACACACACACATGTCACTCCCATCACAGTGACCAGAATCCACCAGCTGGTCTCTAGCAGGTCACACAGTTGTCACCATGGTGACAAAGCCCGGCAGATGAGGACTCACAGTTTAACAATATCTTTCAATAATGCATAAAGGCAGGCCTGTGTGTGTGTGTGTGTGTGTGTGTGTGTGTGTGTGTGTGTGTGTGTATGTGTGGCCCAATTATGGCCTTCAGATTTTCTTGACCGTATTCCGGACAAAGAGACAGATGAACAGAGATAAGAGCTAATCGTGTTGAGACAAACACAACATTGAGTGTGTGTTTCATGCGTGGCATATCATACTGAGGCACGAATCCTCTCCAACCAATTGTTGTGAAATTGTTAGCAAGGAATGTTCTTAAAATGGGGGAGCTTTAAACAAAAAGGTTGAAGGGAACCGAAAAAGGAGGGAAAGGATAAAAGGTGCCAGACTGAGAGGGATGCGGGTGGAAATGGTGGGGAGAGTGAAAAGAGAGAACAAGGGAGGCGTTGAGGAGGCGGGAAAGGAGCGGCATGGCTGCTCAGAACACCTGCCGCTCATACCACAACCTCGTTTTGGTTTCCAGTAGCTCCGAAAACATCCAGCAACTTATATATTTGTCATCATACCAGTTGAAAAAGCCATAGTGTTGATAGAGAATACAGAACAATCATATGTAAAAGAGATGTCAAAGATATTAAAATGTGATCTCAGGCGGAACTATGTTAACCTCTCATGGTAACATTTGTATTTCTGCTTGACGGTAAAAAGAAAGGCTTGGACGAATATAACGACTATGGAAGCCGAGAAAGGCCGAAAGTATTTACATTCTATACACATCTGAGGGCCTATTTGTGAAAATTAACCACAACTGAATACTTAAAGGTGCAAGAAATGAAATTGGGAGCATTTCGATTGCCTCTCAACGGCTCTCAACAGGTCGATGGCGTGCCGGCGGCTAGCTATAAAAAGCGCTGACAGAGCTAATGGTGTTTTTGGTTCAAGGGGAGCTGGAGGGGCGGATGCTATGCCTCCGCATCAACGCTGCCGTGTTGGGACTATTACCGCCTTATGAGAGCAGATTTTTAGTTTGACATGTTGGGCGTATTCTGACATGCCTTCTAGGTGGCCTACAAGTACGTCTGCATTAACGTGTGCCGTGACTGGTCAGTGGGCTAGCGTGACTGTTGTGAAGCTGAAGCTAGCTAGCAGAACTTAGTAGTAGTAAGAGTTCAAGTTGAAAGATATGTAAGAAGTTATGACATTGACATGACATTTTTAGTGTTTTGCTTGGTGTAGTTTTGTTTTTTAACACTCAATGGCTGAAGGAGGAGGAGAAATGGATTTGGGATTACTGCCAACGCTTTTCTGGAGGACATTTCCAGAAAAGCTGTAAGAAAGGGTCGGCCAACCCCACAGCTAGCAGCCCTGACCCAGCCAGGAAAAGGATTTGTACGAACCGTATTCCTTGCTGACAGCATCGGAGAAGCGGTGCACATTTTATGGCTAAGAATGCGTTTTATTTGCGACTGAGCGGCTTGGTGTTTGGAGCTACGCTACATTTGCTAACCAAGGCAGCAACAAGACACCATAGCATAGGACACTTACAAACTACGGTGCTTTTGAAAACTTTTGCTGAGACCCGAGTGGGTCTACAACTCAACGAACACGTTCACAGGAGGACGTCTGGCTGGAACTGAACCGCACCGATATTCTGTACAACTGCGGTATTGAACTCTTTGTAATCAAAGAAAGGAGGATGGACTTGCTTTAGCCCTGTTTGAATCAGTAGAGAACAGCTAAACGCTGCGGGGAGAGTTAGTAGCGTGTGTGCTGCTGTTGATTTCCCTGCTAAGCTAGTTTATATATATATATATATATATATATATATATTACCAGTGGCGGCTGGCCAATAGAGGGCAATGGGGCATGGCCCCACCTTGAGCCACACAAAAAAATAAAAAATTATAATAATCATAAATTATACAAATTGTCAATATTTGTGTTTTTGAACTATGGAATGTAGCCAGTAATATGTGTAAAATATGATATCTGAGCAAAATATATGCTTTTCCTGCTTGTCTGTGTGCTCATCTGCTCGTGCTCTCCGCCTGTGTGCACGACACGTCTCAGAACGCGCAGCTAGGGGGGCCAAATCGTTTTTGCCCAAAAGAGGCAGGTCTATGAAGCAGTTTAGCCAATTGCTGATTAAAGATATAAATGAGTGACATACAATTTAGCCAATCAGCGCCCTCAAATAGATTCAGTGTGGGGCCAAAAAGATTTTGCCCCCTTCGCTGCGCGTTCTCGTCAGGAGAAGTCTCTACAGGCGAGCACTACTCCTCCAAGTCCCGTTTGAGAGGAGAACTTTGGCAGAGATTCTGCAGGCCAAAGAGCTGATCCCAGATCAGCCTGACCCCACAATCAGACAGCAGACTAGCGGGAAAGGGAAGCAGTACATGCGAAGCTTCTCTACTGTACACCAGACAGGTTTGGCTAGCAAGATGACGTCATGCTAATAACTTAGTTAGCTTTTTAAAACAACGGGGACAGATCCAGCACGGACAGTTACGGGAGTGAGGGATGAGGAGGTAAGGAAACATGAGAACACCAGGACACACATGAACTCTGTCAAGCTACATATTAGGCAAAGTGAACATCTTTTCTTCTACATAGTTGTCCTCAGTCTCATCTGCTTAACTTGGTCATGGAGGCATCAACATTTAATTGAGATGGTAAATTAACAGTGGAAACTCATCATAGTTTAATTTAAAGTGTGGCGGGTGTAGCGCGGAGATCCCCAAAAGCCCTGACTATTGTTGGTGAATTTAAAGGTGGTAAAATACGAGAATGGGA